AACCTTATACCCTGGACCCTAAACCCCGCTTCGTTCCCTAAACCCGAAACCCGAAACCCTATAAACTCTATAAGCCCTATAAACCCTGCAAACCTTACAAACCCTATAAACCCTATCGGCCCTATAAACCCTATAAGCCCTATAAGCCCTATAAACCCTATAAACCCTATAAACCTTATAGACCCTACAAACCCTATAAACCTTATAAACCCTAGATTCAGAATTTCGACCCGAGAAACCCCAAAGCCGTTACCACCCTGAAGCTCCGAAGCCTCACAGCCCTGATCAGACCGACGGGCTTTTAGGGCTTAGGGTTCGGCGTTTAGGGCTTTGGGTTTAGGGGTTTTGGGGTTTAGGGTCTTGGGGTTTAGGGCTAAGAAGGGTTTAGGATTTAGGGGTTTGGGGTTTTAGGGGTTTAGGGTTTAGGGGTTTAGGAGTTTAGGCTGAAGCCTAAGCTTAGCACGCGAAGCTCCGAAGCTCTGAAGCCGAAAACGCCTCCCACGCCGGGTTCGTCCCAGGCTCGGGATTGAAGCACCCTGGGTTTCAGGGTGGCAGGGTATATAGGGGTTGGTGTTTAGGGTGTAGGGTATATAGGGGTTGGTGTTTAGGGCTTGGGGTATATAGGGTTGGTGTTCAGGGCTTGGGGTATATAGGGTTGGTGTTCAGGGCTTGGGGTATATAGGGTTAGTGTTTAGGGCGCAAAGCTTGCCAAAACAGCGTACCATATCAGGCACGACTTGCTCTAGGGGTTTACGGTTCAAGGCTTTGGGGTTCGGGGTTCTGCGTTCTGAGTTTGAGGTCATGGGTTGGTGGTGTACGGCATAGTCTACGGCTTTGTGGTTGCAGTTGAGGTCCCGGCTGAAACCCTGTTAGAGGCCCTATAAACCCTATAAGCCCCATACACTCTATAAGCCCTATAAACCCGACTATAAACCCTATAAGCCCTATAAACTCTATAAGCCCTCTAAACCCCTATACGCGCTTTAAACCCCTCTAAGCCCTATAAACCCCTATAAACCCTACTATACACCTTATAAGCCCGATAAGCCATAGAAACCCTGCAAGACCTATAAGCCCTATAAGCCCTACTATAAACCCTACTATAAGCCCTACTATAAGCCCTACTATAAACCCTACTATAAGCCCTACTATAAACCCTACTATAAGCCCTACTATAAGCCGTATAAGCCCTAGATTCAGAAGTTCGACCCGAGGTTTTGGTCCCGCGAAGGCGCGGTTCCTTCTGGAGGCCCCCTATCGGTGGGAGATAGGGGTAGTTGTCGAAATTAGGGTCCCTTTTAGGGTCCTTTTTATAAGGGTGCCGTACTATATTGGGGATCCCATAAAGGTAGTTCTCCCCGGTTTACGGGTTCAGGGTTTAAGAGTTTAGGGCGGTTTAGGGTTTAGGAACGTCGGGGTTCAGGGGCTTCAGGCTTTAGGGGGGCTGTTAAGGTTACGTTTCTTGCGATGGACGGTTTTTGGTTTTCTCTCGACTTTGTGTGTTGTCTGTTGTCTTATTCCGGTGTCTAGGTTTTAGTGTTTATGCCGTTGTTAACCGGCTCAGGCCTTTGAATCAGGTTGCAAATTCAGGGTGTGCATCATGGGCATCTCGTTGTCTGTGCATATTGTTTGGGGATGCAGTGCTTCGGTGAGGACGTCGAGGACACACTCAAACTCTGAACCCTAAACAACCCCCTAGGGGTCATTAAGCATATGAGTAGTTCCCTAAATTAGGGCCCCCTTTAGGTCCCCAATATAGTACGGCACCCTTATAAAAAGGACCCCCAAAGGGACCGTAATTTAGAAAACGACTGAGATGATCCCTATTTTTGTTCTAAGGGCGCCTCCACAGTTCTGGCCCGCCGCTTCAGGACAAGCTGCCGCGTGCGTTTGAGCTGGGGAAAGCCGTTGGAATCGATTTTCGCATGGATCGACGCGGCTTGACTTCAAGGTTCAGGGTTCAGCCGTAAACCCTAAACCTTAAAATCCAAAACCCCAAACCCTAAACCTTAACACCCTAAACCCCAAACCCTAAACCTTAAAACCCTAAACCCCAACTCCTAACCCCCAAAACCCTAAACCCTAAACCCCTAGACCCTAAAGCCCTAAACCAGCAGTTTACGGGTTTGGGCCTACAGCCGAAAGCAAGCCCTGGCCTGACCCCACAGCATCCCCGAACCCTCCCAAGCCCAAAACTCAAAGCCCAAGACCTATAATGTAGGAAGCTGATTAAGAAACCCTGGCCCTATAACCCCAATATAGTAGGGTTCCTACTAAGACCCCCCAATAAAGGCCCAGGGTTTCTTAATCCGGTTCCTATATTACCTCATCCCAGGGGTTGGGGCATAGAGGCTACAGGCTGAGACCAGGCTCAAGTTCGCGTTGCTGCGAAACCAGGCAAGCAGCACCATCTCCCAGGGATGTCCGCAGTGCAAGGGGTTATGACCTTCGAAGGCGAAGGGTTTAGAAGTTTGGGTTTAGGGTTTAGGGCTTAGGGCTTATGGTTTAGGGTTTAGGGTTTATGGTTTAGGGTTTAAGTTTGGGTGAGCTGGGAGTCTTGAGCAGTTTTCTAAGCACTTGGAGAACCCGGAGCTGCCCCGAAGTCAAACCCAGAAAGCCCTTCCAGACCCAAGACGAAGCTGAAAAAAGAGCGACGCGACAAGATGGACCCCGTTTACAAAGTCACTGTGAAGCTCTTGTTATTGCTGTTTCTTAGGGCTCCAGTTGCCTACATAAATGAGCTATTGGGTTACATCTGATATGGGTAGTGACCTACTACTGTTTAAGTAACCGGAGCCCTCGGGATTGCTTGTTAATTACCGCAAGGCATCGTGCACACCATCGACGTGAACACAGCGCTGCTGGTGGCACAGAAGCACGGACGCTTGTCTTGCAGCCCTAAACCCTAGACCCTAAACCCTAAACCGGCTCCTTTCTGTGAATTTGGTGCCTATGTGATCGGGGACGATGGAAACTTGCAGCCCACCCCCAAAACCATGAAGTCTAAGCTTTGAAAGCTAGATTGGTTTACCGAAGTCGGCTCTCCGTAGCCGCTGAAGTAGTGACTCACTCGAGGGTGCAGGGTTCAGGGTTGTGGGTTTTTGGTTTAGGAGTTTAGGGTTTTTTTGTGTCGGAAAAAGGAACTTCAAAAGCACCTGGACTGCCTTGATCCTTACCTTGCACAACCTTTAAAACCCGTGCACCGAGAGCCCTGCAGCCCGTATCATCACTGGCCACAAGGACCGCGGTTCGAAGTCGTCCTCCGCCCGTAAGACTTCAAGCCGGAAGCCGGGAGAAGCTGAAATCCTAAGCCTTGGCGTCCTAAACCCAAAGCTCGTAGACCCAAAGTCTGCCGTTCCTTCGCACCTGAACTGCATCCCCGCAACAACCTTCATGAATTTCCACAAACGCCGGTAACATGCCATAACAAGTCATAGAAAGCCTTATGAACATCATGCACATGGCCACGAAAGCTAGTGAACCATGATCAGTCCTTGTAGGTACAAAACCATCATACGCTACCCCTCAGGAGCCCGAAAAGCTAAACCCTAAACCAAAAACCCTAAACCGCCCTAGAGCACAAAGCCCCCTAAACCCAACACCCTAGCCCCCAAAATAAATCTGAAGTCTTGCTTCAAGCCCCCAAGCACCAACATTCTTAAGTCTTAAGCCCTAAACCTCGACAGTTCTTAAGTCCTAAGCCCCAAACCCTCAAAAGTCCTGAAGTCTTAAGCCCTAAACCCCACGGGCCCTAAACCTACAGGCGTCGCTGAGCCTTTTGCGTTGGAGATGCTGAAGATGCACTTCGAGGGGCTCCAGGCCGGCTACGTTTTCTTTCCTTTTCTTTGGGGGGGGGGGGGTTTAGGGTTTTAGGGTTTAGGTCTTGCTTTTTTTGTTGATAACTTGGGAGGGGGCTGGTGTAGGTGAGTGAGGGCGGTAGGGGCGGGAGGATACGGATAGTCAGTAGGGCTTGTCTAGGGTTTAGGTTTAGGGTTTGTTTTGGGTTTAGGGCCGAGGGTTTAGAGTCTGGAGCGTTTCAAGGGGTGCCAGAAGAGAAAAAGATCCAAGAAACGCAGGGATATCTGGAGTGATGGTAACATTACAAGAACATACAGCACTAGGAACACTGTTCGCGGTAATGATCACAATATGATTGTTCAGATTGACCGCAACTGTACAAGTGATAAGACATCAATACTTAATAGGATCACTAGGCATCAAGCAAGAATGGCACAGAGTAACAGAGGTGCACACACAAACCGTGGAAAAACGGGTTAGCAGCAACCACAGTAGTCAGGATGAAAGGAGCGAAACTGACAATAATGACAGCCATATGAACGTCACCGGGGCCTCAATTCCTGGCCAAGGATCCCAACAACCGCTCCTCCTTGTCGTCACGTCTCGTCCTTCGCTTGGATGAGGGAGGCATTGTTGGTGCTGCAGCTATGCGTTTAGTTCGGGTTGTTGTTCTGAGCATAATGTGATCACTACCATGACCATATTATTGTCACTTGGTTTACAATCCTCTCCAAGACAAAACTCTTGCCTGCCGGGGTCCTGAAATCTTCTGAAACATCCCTGCCTATATCTTTCCTTCGCAGCTGGTTGGGACGCCCCCCCAGATCGTGACAGCCTAGGCTTCCGACCGCTGTACCTCTGTGTTGTAGGGCCTTGTAGGGTTTAGGTCAAGCTTCCAGCACAGGAGCGCGTTCAATTCACTGGTTTCAACATGATGCAGTGCTTGCTCTAATATCTTAGATCCATGAAGCTAGTCTTTGCCTCCGGTGCTGCTGCTGCTGCTGCTGCTGCTGCACCACAGCAGACTCAGCTCCCAGCCGGTCTAATATTTTGCATCCCCAGGGCCTAAGCTAGGTGGGGGGGGGGGTCCAACTCCTTGTTTAGAGTTTATGAGGTCCTAGATTCTATCCATTCGCCGTTATTCCTTTTATATGAAGGCAATTGGGCCCTCAGGGTAAAGAATGTTTTGAAGGAAGTACGCAATGGCCTTGCAGTGCGGAGCCCTGGCATGTAGTTGCCACGGCGCAAAGCAGGACTGCGTGGAAGACATCGATGCCGGCGCGGCTCCCGCACCCGAGGGACCCGAGGTGCGCGGCAGCATTGAGCCGCCGTTGGCATCAAACTCGCCCCCAGCCGAGATGGCCGGGGAGTTTCAGGGTGAAGATGTCCGATCATTTGCAGAGGACGCTCCGTCGGTGCAGGTGTCGATCGGCCCAGAGAGAAAGGATGCATCTCATGGCCATAGGTTCCACCATTCACTTACCGGTGAGGTTTTGGGTGGCACCGCAATCAAGCCTGAGGGGAGCTACTTTCCTGCTTCTCTGACTTTCAGTTATCAAGATCTGTTTTGGTCGAAAGTGGGAGCAGTGTTTTGGATCAACATGGTGTGTTTTATCGTGGCAGGGGGTCTCTATCGAGTCTCTCTTTGGATGGGATGGCGCGTGGCGGCTGCAGCCTTCCTTGCGACGGTCTTGTCTCTCTGCATTTGGCAATCGACTTGGCAAATGGGCAAGCTTGCTATTGGTACCGTGCCGACGGCGGCGTTGCTCCTGGACTTGCTGCTGGCCTGGACGATGATATTCTGCGAGAAGTATTTTCTGGGGTTGTTCCGCTCATATTCGATGCTGGTCCTTATTGTTTGCTCTATGTTGGTGTGTGCTCCCTTTGGGGGCCGTCAGATGTTTGGAATGACTGCAGTAGCTGCCGTTCGACTCGTCGGTATCGGAAGCATTCTCATGGGCTACTACTTCGTTCTGATTGACTTCCCATCTGAAACCATCCAGGATCTGTTTTGGCCCTTGACAGCTTCAGTGTACAAGGCACTTGCTGGCCCTTTAATGTACGGCATTTGGAATGGTCCAGGCCGGCGTGATTGCTCAGCTTTGTTTGTTACAACAGCAACTCTTCTCATCTCTATCTCCTCTGAGGGCTGGTACTACGCAGGCCTTGTTCTCATGCTCTTCAGCAGTGTGGGTACAGAGTACCAAATAATGCGTCGCGCAGCGACGAGCATTGCCGCACACTCTGTGTTCGCACTCCTCGGGCGATTCAACGTGGTGAACACCATGGTCTTCTTGCTCTTTCGGAAGGTGGCTCGTCGCTGCAGATGGCGTGAGCCACACATCTATGCCTTCGGGGCAAGGAAGGACCTGGTATTGCGCAGTTCCACAGTCTCTGGAGCAGTTGCTTGGGGCATTACCTTCTCATGTTGCGTGATCTACATGCTTTCAACCTTGCCAGTCTACATGGACAGGGGCTGCGAACGAGCTTCGCCCACTTGCCACTATCTTTTCCGGCCAGCTACATACCTTGTAGGATTCTGTGCTGCATTGGCCTTGGTGCTCACGGAGCTGGTTGTGGCCATTGGCATGCGCTGGCTACGCCAGGCGCGAGGCGATGATGAAGCAAGTGACTGGACCTTCCGTGCCACTGGGTTCTTGTTAGGGGATTTAGATTTAGATTACCATAATAAGGAAACCATATTATTTACTATAGATCCCTATTATGGTAACTTAAATTAAATCCCTTAACAAGAACCCAGGCCATGGCCGCAGCCGTCTACAAGCTCAGTCTGCCAGGGATGAACGTGCAGGCCTTTTCTACAGCGGCGTCTCGGGACGTCATCCCGCCTGATGTCAACCTCAGCATCTCACTTGCAAGAGAGCAGTATGCCCACTGCCCGGCATCAGCTTTAGGGACGTCTAGGAGTTTAGGGTTTAGGCACCCTAAACCCTAAATTTCTTGCCACAACTTTATCTGGAAACGTGTGTACATACTGTCGGTAAAGCCCTAAGCGAAAACAGACTACTGTACATGCCCTGCGCTACGCACCGCAAGCATCAGCACCTGCTTGCTTTTTGCAGCTTGCCCTCCGCATAAAACCCTGAGCGCGAAGCACTAGGACCTAAGCCCTAAGCGCTGAATCCAATACCCAAAAGGCATAGTTTGTTCATGGAGAGGCATTAGCCTTTTTTTGTAAACTATTTGCCATGCACTCCAAAATCCTGAAACCCAATGTTCTTCACATAGAGACCTATTTATTATTTTGGATCTTTTATTCATTATTAATCACTGTTAGCTATTATTTATTATTTGTTGTTCATTGTCTATATTATGATTATTTGTTAGATGTTACTTTTTCTTCTACTTATTAATTGCTGCCCTAAACCCTAAACCCTAAACCCTAAATCTAAACCTTAAGCCCTTGATCCTAAGTTGTGTTGGCATTGACATACCCTAAACCCCAAACGCTGAACTGCTCATCTCCAGTAAACGCTACGCTCTCGAGGAGTTACAGCTTTTTCGACTTTAGGGCTAGAGCTAGACACTTGAGCATAGGCTTAGGGTTTAGGGTTTAGGGTTTAACATTTAGGGTTTAGGGTTTAGGGTTTAGGGCGTAGGGTTTTAAGTGCCATTTTATCCCTCCACGCTTAGCCAAGCTGCAACTCGATGCCCCCCCCAGACGAGACTCGAATCGAGCCCAACATGCTACACCCAAAACCCATTGAAAACCTAAGCCCAAGCACTAAACCCTAAATTCTTCGAAGCCCTAATCCCTAAACCCTAAGCCCTCAACCCCAAACCCTAAATCCTTGGAAACCCTAAACCAGCAGCTGCTGCCGTCAACCCTGAACCGGCAGACAAGCCCTAAGCGCCGTAAACCCTAATTAAACCCTAAAACCTGGGTGTAGGGTTTAGGGTTTAGGGTTTAGGGCTAAACCCAGAACCCTAAACCCTACAACCTCAACCCAAAAAAGTCCTACAGGCATCGACCAGGTACCTGGATTGTTATGCCTCTCAGCCCGCGAATGCGCGGCCTGCCTCTCGTCGACCCATGTCCTAAGTGCCTGGGCGTGTCCAGTTAGGGTTTAGGGTTGAGGGTTTAGGGTTTAGGGTCCGAGCTCTTGAGCCAACTACTGCTCTACAAGCCCTAAACCCTGCAATCCCTGAGCCACCAAATCTGGGTAGACTTTCATCAGTCCTAAGGCCTAAACCCTATAGAGACTCTAAACCCAAAGCCCTAAAAAGTAACCCTAATATAGAGGCCTTTATAATTAGAACATGGTTTTGGGGCCCATTATACTATAATTGGGTAAAGCAACCCCCAAAACCCCTATTCTAATTATTAAGGCCCCTACATTAAGCCCTAGACCCTGGACCCTGAACCCCAAACCCTAGATGGAGGCCCAGGGGACTTAGTAAGTAGGTTATAAGTAGGGTTATAATTAGGGCAACTGCATTTAGGGTACTTATATCTCTACATATAACCTACTTACTAAGATTGCAGAGCCGCCAAGTAGGCCCTTCAGGTCTTGCCCCTTTTTGTACTTTTTCATGGCGTTTCTAACTTTGGGATGCGCCTTGGGGCTACCAGCATGAACATCTTTAACTCGGGGGTCATACTCTCAGGGTTTAGGGTTTAGGCTGTTTAGGGTGTTCGGATTTAGGGATTTTTGGGGCTTTGGTATTAGGATTAGGGGTTTAACGTGTAGGGCGTAGGGATTACGGGTTTGAGCGGGCATCACAAATAGCAAACACAAACGTGCCACCGCCCACGCCCGGTGATGCGCATGATGCTCGTCCTTTCTGGCAGCCAACAATCCCTCATTTCAACTTCTCTATGGATCGCATCACCAATCAGTTCCGACGGCATCATGCCCCTAAATCCTACACCCGAGACACGGCCCGGGCAGGTGGTCTTGCTGCGTGTGTAGGGATCTCGACTGGACCTGGGGGAGTGGCCGAGAAGCCGACACCATCACCAAAAACTCGACAGCTAGAAAAAGCTATACTGTCCATAGGTTTAGGGCTTGGGGCTAATATGGCGGAGATGTATGTTCTTACAAAGTGGATATCTTGCAGGGGGAAACCCAGCAAATTTGTGATAGTACCACGACATGATGCTAATTTCGCTGTTCGACAAACCTTATGCCTAAGCCCAAACCTTAAACCCTAAACCCTAAACCTTGTCCTGAAATTCTCAAAGCCAAGGACTACACCTGCAGCC